ACACCGCTTTTACTTTTGGAAAATCTCTATTTTAAAAGAAGTTATGACGATGCGACGTTTGCGACGGATTCTTATGTGAAATCACGTTTCTTTTGCAAAAGTTATGAGCGGTACTGTATTTGTAGGTGATGAATATTCCACACTGTTGGGCATCAGATGCAGCGGGTACTAAAAAGCTATGCGGAAATTATGTTGGGTGTAGAAACCTCAGTTGAAACCCCAATGCCAACTGAGCCTCCACTTATGTTCTGGAACTTTTTCGCCATAGTTCAAAAAGGACAAGTGTTGATTGATAATGTCATTCCGTTTTGCGACTAGCGCTGTGTTCTATTTTTAGGATTAAATCGCTGGTTCTGCTCATATCAGTTAAAATTGAATTTGTCAGCATAAATTCCAAACTTTTCTAATAAGTCAGTGGCTAGGTGGTAATAGTCAAAGCAAGCAGCTTGATCATCCGCGTTTATCTTTGCTGCCTGATCGTATGTTGACTGAGTGAGCCTATTACACTTTGTTTTTGAATAAAAAAAAAATTTAGGTGAGTCTGATACGGTAGAAGTCTTCTCTTTTATCTATATTAGCATCATTTTTTATTGATTTAAAATTCTTTTCTGGTTCATCCAATCTCAATCCTTAGTTTTTTTGATGAGTTGCCTGGTCATCTTTAATTTCGTGAATCATTTCTTGAATCAATTTCTCATACACCCTACCTATAATATCTTTAACTGCTATTCCTCAGCTTTGCAGTCACGCCCACTGCTTCCCACTTTTGGGAAATTTTGCCTCCTCTGACTACCAATTTATCTGATATTGTCATGTTAGATTAGTAAAACCCAAATCAGTGTTTGGAACTACTTAAAATTCCGTTGTATTCTCTCTATTTTGCCGCCATTCTTTCTTTTTGCTCTGAAACAATGGGCTAAAAACTCTAACAAAATTTATTCTGTATACAATAGGATGCAAAACTTTGTGCACGAAAACTGATGAATAAATCTTCTTTTTTTTTCATAGAAGTTCAACCATAGGCGCTGCTTCCGCTCCTGCAGCTGAGTATTTCATGAATGTTGCATATTTCTCTTCTAATCCTTGTGGTCTTGGATGATTGGTGCAGGTCATGACCTAAGAAATAACATTTGTTTTTGAACTTGGTTTTGAGCTTCGAAAAAATCCCAAAATGAAATATGAATTTGCTTTAATTTTTTCGAATGCTTTTAGAATTTCAAAGATTTGGATAAGATTTCAGCGTCCAAAAACTATATAAACTCACTAGATTGCTTGACGGAGATAGTCTGAGTGTGCAGTGCTTAAAATCCTTGCCGTAATAGGACCTTAGCTGAAATTCTGATAGAATTCAACGTTATTTGTAAGCATTTGTAAGCAGTCTTTTTCTTTCTTTTCGTCCTTGAATTTATGTTCTTTTTCTCAGGACTCATAACGATAGTTTTCTGCAGAAAAGAGATTTTTACAAATTTTCAAAGTTAAGATAAAGATACAATGAGAAATACGTCAAAGAGCCTAACTAGATGTCTGTTTCTCTCATTATTTTTCGCAGCCACCAGGTAGTAATCACATTCTG